GAATTTTGACGAGAATTCAAAGAGAATTATAAGAAGAATTTAAAGGGTTTTCTGATGATAGTTAAAAAAATAGACTTAGGAGTATTCCTGAAGAAATTTTCTAGTCTAGTCTATTCTAGTCTAATTCTTCTTCTTCTTATTCGCATCTCAAGCTTATTGCGTGCTCTTTTCTTAGTGTTCTTAATGCACTTCCACAGTTATTAATTGAGAGCTTTCGATGCCAATACCAATGCATGAATTTGTATATTGGTGCGGCAAGCACAATGACCAGGGAAGTCGAGAAAATGTCCAACCCGAAGGATTCCGTCGACCGGATTGGGAATCGAACCCGCCGCCTCCGGCTTGGTATAAGGCTCCTTGAGGCCCCTTATAGTCTACACAAACTAGGAATCCTGAGGAGGAGAATTTTGGTGAATATTTTGAGAATACTAAAGGAATTCTATGGAGTATTTTTTATTATTTTCATGGAAATTCCGAAGAGAATTGCAAGGAACGAGAAGAATGGCACGGGAAGTTTCTTGTGAGCTTAAGGAGAGAATCCCATGTGTACAGAATTCCAAAGTAATTAAGGAGAAAAGTGTTTTTAATTCTCAATAGGTTAATATTAAACCATTTGGGGAAACAGTCCCGGCGGAAGTCATACGTTCAAATCTCAACCCTGGACATGTCGTGAATGATCGAAATGTGTAAAAGTGCCTTTGAGAAAAAATAAACATTTGGAAAAGTAGCACATAAGGTTGATAATGTTGAATTCTTCATGGTTCAAAGATCATGGCGTTTGTAAGTCAAGCTTCTGCATTCATTTTCCATCAGATGTCACTGCTGTTGCTGTGATATATATCGGAAATTACGCATAATCTGTTTTCCGTTAGTTGTTCACAGAGGATAGTGTAGTCGAAAAACCTAGAAATCCTTTTCAGACTACAAAATATAGTACCTGACACTGCAAAACATGTCTGGTACCTCTATACATGCTTTTTGATGCACATCCTAACAGGATTTCCCGTCGTTTTTATGAATGCGCGGGGCTTCGAAAGTATTTTTTGTGCCGAGTATGCAAAAAATTAAGGACTTCAGATATAAGTGCATACATAAGGGTATCAACAACTTTTACAGTGCCAGGTATTCTACTCTGAAGTCTGTGAGAGGAAAATCACAAATCGCGTGTCATCAAAATACACGGCATGTTGAGAGATTGAGCTCGTGAGAGAGAATTTTCTCTCCCAAATTCGAATATTTTGACTCTGAATTTTAATTTTTGACTCTCTGGTAGAACAGCGGGTAAAAAATGTATCGGAAAAAAAACTTAACGACAAACCGAGAATTATTAGGTTGTCGTTCACTTGCATCGAAAGCGTATTATTTTCACTTTTCAAAATATCTATATGGGGATTATTATTATTTCCTACCCATGGAACAGCGCCATCTTTGTGAAAAATAACCTTGACTAAATGGTTTATTCAACGCACCAAACGCCGAATTTCCAACTCGATTGTGACATCTGTGTTGTTATATGACGCCGAGACATGGTGCGTATCTACGGAGCTCAAAAGCTGCTGATCTTCAAAAACTAATGTCTGCGATATATAATTCGAACCAGGTGGCCTCACAACTGGATCTCGAATGTTGAGCATGAATTGACATGAGCGCTGGATTTGAATTAAGCAGCACAACGCAGCAGAGTCAGATCTAGAGGCTCATAGCGGCAGAGCCTCAACAAGGAGATGAAGCAAGCTGACAGAAATTTGACCTGGAACCAGGTCAAGGCGAAAGCATGCAGCCTTGCTTGCAAACATTTATTTTTAAATGAAGCACCCTTATATGGATTCATCAACCCCTACACGCATACATATCGATTAAACATGGTTCCTACAATATTGTGTATTTTGACTTCTTTATCATATGACCGGTTCATAGTGATTTACCATATTTGATATGCTCAATGCAAAACTGAACTGCCTCATAAGCTTTATTAACGTTTTATTTTTTTCCCGAAATTGATATGACGAAAATATTGCACAAAATTTAACTAGCAACGTTTCATATTAAAATTTGATTCTCATTCTAAACATTTTATTCACATTTTTTTTTTCGATGGGAGCGATATCCTACGCAGGTATGGAAGCTGCCTTCTTGCTCATTCGATTGCCGTCAATGAATGGCAATGGATGTCCGCCGGTGATTAGCACTAGATTGCGGAACAAAGACCAACGTTAAATAAAGGAATGAAGAAGACATTTTTTCGATAACGCTTTATGAGAATGAACAATGTTCTGAAGATTTCCTAGGAAAGGGTTGAATTTCGATAGTAGTTCTTTAGTAAGATTGACACTGATGACTATTGCTCTTTGGAGGCGAAAATGTCTGACCACTGTAATGAAAGTGATCCCTTGTTTAACCTGACCAAACGGAAACAATAACTAATCTAATATTTGTCTATACAATATATACTTTAACCAATTTGCCCTGAATAATTCTTAGCTTGGTGTGATATTATTAAAATTGGACTTTTATGTCGGTCGAAACGGGCAATCGATATACCGATATTATTGAACCATACAAATATCAATATTGATAAATATGGAACATATTACTACTTTAAGAAAAATTGTATTGTATTTCAGATGAATTTGTTTAAAACCTTTAGCGGACCCCTCGATTCATATGCAGAAGCCGAAGTGATAATTAAAGTCAACAATGTTTTCTAACGTCCTTCGCGGTGTGTGATTCAAGTAAACACCTTAAATGGAGCCCTTCATAGTTCAAAGCATAATTTCTAGCATTAGGAATTATAAAGGCCTAACTGCGATAATCGATTCTCTTAATCGATTTTCTCTTTTTTTAATATCTGGGCAGGTTTAACATTTTTCGGTGCGTTTGATGTTGCTTTTGCGAATACATCCTAAAAGGCAGCAGAGGCAGATCCACTCGAACAAGTTCGAAAAAATTGTTCACTTAACTGTAGTAATGCGAAGATCGCAGTTAGACCCTTTTGATTCTGAACGCTAGGATTGTTTGTTTTTCACAAGTCTACTTCATAGCATGAAGAAACTTTTCGCGCCATCGAACACGCAGAGTAACCCTTCAACTGATTGATTTCGGTTTTTTAATTTTCCATTACAAAGGATGCGCAATCATTTGTAGACTTTGGAGATCGAGTCTCTCCCTCATAACTCTCGTAGAAAATTGTGTTCCAAATTTCAAACCCACGAACCGCGGGGTTCGACGGTTGAGTCATCAGCTGAGAAAGCTTGATGTGTTTTTCTTTTCACTTTTCGTACACTATCTACGCGTCGCCGCGCACCGAGTGGGTCGAATTTTCCTCCCATTCCGATGGTGTGGTCTCGATTTTCATACACTTTCATAACGCTTTCGAAGCGACGTAATTTGCGACGGGCGTATCTAAAGCTCCTTCGAGCGAGTTTCACTCTCAAAAGAACCTACACAAAAACCACGCCGATCTCACATCATTTGTAATTGCTAGCTTCCGAGGCATTACAAGACTCTTCGTTTTTTTTTTTTTTTGTTTTTATGCAACCAGGTCACTCGTATGCCACAAAAATAAACGCATCCACGATTGATTGCACGTCTTGAACTTGGGACAGATATAATCCAATTTACAAAGAAAAAAAAACACTGTATCTTCTGAGCACTTGTCACCTGGAAGTTGTTGATATCTCAATTACTAACACATAGCAACACACACTTTTGCATTCAGCGACATTTTAGCCATCGTCACCTGCAGAATGACGAAACTAATAATTCCTTTGCGATAATCCTATTTTGAAAGGGCGTTAATCAATGATAGATGTTATTATCCGGAACCTCACAGAGATCTGCTACTGAAAACCGACACCGGCGACAGGTTCAAACTCGACTGAAATTGAACGGAATGGTCGTAGTGCGCGATGCAACTGAGCCGTTCGATGGTCATGGAGGTGAATTGAAATGCGGTAGCGCAGCATAGCGGATTGTGAGTGGCAATTTGCGGGGTCTTGTAGGTGTGGTGGAGAGCTGGAGTGATATCGGGCCAATTTTTCCTATACACATTCCATATTGCAGTGGGGTTGTGTTTGTGAATGGCAAGTAAGGTTCATCATTATTGGATCGCAGTATTCCACGCAACCGGTACAGTACACATACCTCTTGGAGGTTTAATAGAGCTAGACAGTCGGTCGGTAGTTAGTGTACAGTACATTCACGCGGAAGACCCAAAGCTCCTATTGGGATAGAGTCAAGTGTACGTGTTATTTGTGAAAGGTTATACCGCATTTATGATTGCACAGAATGCTTAATAAAGTGTGAATTAAAGCCGATGTACAATTTAGAGTTAAGTGACTAACAGTGGGGCCTCCCTTAGCTCAGTCGGTAATGGTGCAGCTACAAAGTAAGACCATGCTGAAGGTGGCTGGGTTCGATTCCCGGTCCGGTCTTCCCAGGGCATAGAGGATGATTTCACTTGCCACACAATTATACTAATGGAAAAATGCTGCAGGCATCGAAAGCTTCAATTAATAACTGTGGAAATACATCTAGAACACTAAGATGAGAACACGCAATAAGCTTATGTGCGATAAGCAATAAGCTTGAAATGCGAAGAAGAAGACGAATAATAATAATAATAATAATAATAATAATAAAACTAACAGTTCGGTAGTATTTGTGCTATTATGTATTATGTTAAAGTTTTGCATTCAATGCTTTTTTAAATTAATTTGTTAATAGAACAATTGAAAAGTTATTATATGGCCTTTCGATTGGGATTTTATTGAGGTTATGGGTTGGCTCTTCAGTCTTTGGAGGGATCGAAAACTTGTAATGCTACTTCTGTATCAAATGGCTCGAATAAAGTTTCCGATCCACCCCAAGACTAAAGAGCCATTCCCTAACCTCACAGGGGACGACGGGGTAAGACGGCTACCTTAAGCTTGAATTAAAATTTAACCAAAACTGTGTAAAATTTCCGTGATCAATTTAGTTAATATTGATCTTTAGAGTACTTTCCATTGATTTTCAGAAAATTTCCTTTTCATTTGATGATGTTTTATCACGAACCAAAAAAAAAAAACTAAATAATTAGAGAAAAAATCATGCGGAGTAAGGTTGGCCACCCCTAGGGGCAGTCAATTTCCTGTATAAAATATATCCTGAGATCTTTACTATTTAGAAAGTTTTTGTCTGCGGGAAAGTTGTTCAGGTGACCCATGTCTTCTAATTTGCGGGCTGGATAGTTCAGTTGGTTCAGCTGGTAGCGAGTCACTTTTTTGAAGCTTGTCTCATTCTTTAAGGCCAAGTCACTAAAGTCACTTTTTCTTGTAATCAGTCACTAACTTTTTTAGAGTGAATTTATATCAAGATTGACCATTCTTTGCTTTGTGACGTTTAATCGTCTTTCTCTATCTACAGGGTGTCTACTCATTTTTTAAATAAAATTAGTTTCTAGGTTTTTCCAGAACTTTAATGGATCAATTCAAGGCTTATAATAAGAAAGCTATTTTTAAAATGCAATCAAAACATGCTTTTTTGGAAGATCAAAAAACAACAGTAATTAACCCAAACTTTTTGAAGACATGGCAATCAGTTTTTAAAAAACAGCTTTACAATTAAATCCATTGAATGTTGAAGTTTAGCACATACTGAATTTTTCACTTAAATAAAATTAAAAAAAAAAACTTAATTTGAGTAAGTCTAAGATATAAAAATATTCAATGTCTTGAAGTTTCGTATTTCATGTACAAGTTCAAGATATTTAATTTCAAAGTGCCTGAATTAAGGAAAACAAATCAATGATTTATTTCACGTTCGCAATTAAGTTTATGAAAGATTAGAGATCTTCATTGCAGTCCCATTAACTTCATTGTAGGAACTTTGAAGAAGTTCTGAGGAATGAAAGGAAATGCTGAGAATTTCAGTGAAGATCCATAAACAAGCTGCGGGAACATAAGAGAAGTTAACACACTGCAAATATGGGGAACTTACTGGAAGCTTTAAGATTCTCAAATCGGTTCTCCGAAAATTTTCAGGAACTTTTATGAAGTTTCTAGAATTTTAGAGCACATCATAGGTGTTAAGCGAACTTGAGAAATATAGAAAACTTGAGGGGTATTGTGCAAATTTTCAAGAAGTTCTAAGCACCTCAGAAAAGCTAGATCTAGAGATCTTTGGGGAATTTCAGGTCTTAAGAGCACTTTAGTTCAGACTTTTGGGGCAGTTTAAAGATCTATAATCGTAGTTTTAGAAAAAAATTAGAACCCTCAAGATTTTCTGAGAATTTAATGGAAGTACAGAGACCATCAGAGAATTTATGAAAACTTCAGAAATATTTCTGGAGCTTCACAGAAGTCCAGAGAATTTCAGGGAAATTTATCTTCAATAGAATTGAGAGCTTTATGGAAGCTTTGAGAACATCAAGACATATCAGAGAATCAAAGGGCAGTTCAAATAATTTCAAGGCAGTTGTAGAAACCTTAAAGAAGTTCCAGAAACCTCAGAAAAGCTCCTAGAGAATTCCTGGGACATGATAAAAATTATATGAACATCCGGAAAACGTAAGAGTATTTTAAGGGTGCTATATCATGAAGATTTCAAGAACTTTTAAAAATGCGAAAATTTAGCTAAGTTGATTAGAGAATTAATTTAAACAAAAAATCTGACAACTTTTAGCACGCAGTGATATCTTCAAGAAATTACAGAGATCTTCTAATAAATTTAGATAGTTTCATGATATTCAGCGAAGTTCCGAGTACTTCGAGGGCGATGAGATATCTTCAGAATAATCCCATTAACTCAAGCAAACTTGCAGCAACTTACAATAAATTCCGTGGAATTATGGGGTATTCCAACAATTCTATGATTGATACGAAGTCGTCAGGGAATTTTGAATATATTACAGAAAATTTTCCGGATTATTAAACAAATTCAAGAACTTCTGGTAAGCATAGATAAGTTTAGGGAAAATAGGTGAGTGTGTTAGAAATTCAGAACCTAGTTTTATGAATTGACTACTATTACGGATGTTCCCGATTTTACGGTGGATCCCCACGAACTAATACTGATGACAGATCTACAAAAGATTTCTTAATAAGTCTAATATATTTCAAAAACGAAATATTGTATTCAGTTTCAACATGTAGACGTAAAACATCCCAACCAAAGATGGCCGTCGTATCCCGATACAATTCAAACTGTAACAGCTTCTGTAATATCTCATAATTTAAAGAAAAGCTTCTATTTTTCTCTGTAAGTACATCGAACAGACATGTGGTTTCCTTATAGTAACGTTACATTTACATGATACAGTCATTCAGAATGTTTGATTTTGTTGTTTATTTTTACGATTCACTTGTTATCAAGAATACGAGATGAACTAGTCTACGGCTAAAAATCTCAAAAATAAAGTCTATAAAAAAAACTTGTTATCAAGCAAGAATGGGTTTTACAACACAAACTATACTATAGCAAAGTACTCTGTATCAATAAATTTTGTCAAGAGTTGAATGTTTCAATCATCTTAAGGATGGCCGCCTTATCATGTCATCCCCTAATTGAAAGCACATAATGAATTTTGCACTCAGTTATAATGAGGAATTTTCTCTAAGAGCGGAGACGAACCAGCCCAGGGCTGAAAGTCTCCTTAATAAAGATATAAAAAAAAAAAATACGCTCATATGACTGAGGCAAATAAACCTAAAAATTTCATAAGGCTCGACCTATGAACAACATATATAAATTTCATAAGCGTGACTTCCGAATGATTTTCGGGTAACATGAGGTAGCTCTTAATCTTAGCTTTAACCATTTCATTTTTCCAAGCGTTAAAAGACGAGTGGTCAACACACCCTCCTCAACGTTAATTTTACGGTTCCAGTCTGCTCCGATTTATTATTTTTTTGTCAACATTATTTTTCATAAGGCAAATCAACGAAATTCACACTCATTTCTTATGGTTTGAGCTAAAATTCATAGTGTTTCTTATGGAATTCTTACGTTATCTTGACTGCGTGTAGGCTGGCATGAGACATGAGGGGTGCAGTTTCTATTATAGTTGTCACAATTAAGGAGCTCAATCATTGGAGCTATTAAAGCTACAGATGGTTACTAGAGAAGGCTTAAAATCTAGGGTCATTTATCCTGTATGATGTCATGCGCTCTCTGTTATCATCAAAAATAGATTAATTCTACGGCAATTGAATTCACTGATGGATTGCAGTTCGCAGGCTGTCGTAATAACAAACAGAACAGGTTGTTGATACTTGTGACTTGCATTCATCCTCAATCTGTAAAAACTGATTATCTCATACTTAATAAACACTCATACCGACCACGTTGAAATGTAGGTCATTTAGGGAATGAGTAGGAATATGTTGACGTGATACTTCTGCGAGAATTTACTGGTATGTTTTATCAGAGGGCGGGTTTGCGACAGAGTTTGTTTTGGTGAGCGATACACTGAATTAATGTTATGTGTTCATGTTAATAAAAAAAAAGCGACACCACATTATCGAATCCGAAGAAGCCTGGGACTGCACCCATGATCTTCTGCTCAGTAAGCAAAAACGGTCGTCATTAAGCCACCGAGCCTTCACATTACAACACATCAATTATCTGTTGTAGGTATTACCATTCAAGCCCGGCGACGGCATTGATATGCTGTATGCAGGGTTGCTTCCACTCACTTGCTATAAAAAAATATTTTTCGTAATTATGCAATCATTAGGTCACAACTCCACACCATTCACAACCCCAAGTGTTTAAAAAATAGGAATCATGGTCACTTTTAATGTTGATCTGGAACTTCTGTTTATTCAATATTCATATCAAATTTCCAAATTAATTTTAATATCAAAACTATAACTGTGTTCAAACTAATCTCAAAGCTCTAGGGTCAGCTTTATAACACGATTACTGATTAAACAAAAAATATTTTACTTTAATGATATAATTCACGGCAATACTTCAATTCCGGGGACACCAGAAAAACTCAGTAGCTCTGAGACCTGAATATAATCCAGTATGATCTCTGAGAATAGAAGATAAAACCGGCATATTGGTGTAATTAGAGTTTCTACGAGGTTCCAGAGCATCACAAACTTCTAAAATTCAAGAAGCTTTCGGAACCGAAGATCTTTTGAGACCAGAGATCAGGGTTCTTCTGGAACACTCTGGAGGATGTTTGGAAATAATTGTAGTTTTAAATGTTTCAAATCAAGTTCCGGCAAATTCAGAAGCTGTGTGTATGGTATTATTATTATTTCATGTCTGTTTGCCACAGTGGGGTTTCGGTGCAGATTTTGCACACTAAAAATTGTCCCAATAATGACGAATATCTTTAAGTTTCTCGGGTTTCTAGGTTTCAGAAGTTCGGATAACCCCGGGATTTTCGAAAGTTTTAGGAGTTTTCGAAATGCAAGATATAGCCACGCAGGACATAGTAAGATGGATGAATCTTCCATTCAACTTTCATCAGTGAAAGAATTAAAGTTCAATGAATTTTCACTGCAATCAATTCACTTTTTTTTTAATTACCTGGTTAAGTTAGATGAGATCTATTGCCAGTTATAAGAATATAAAATTCAAAATAGCATAGCATAGCATAGCATAGCATATGCGATTGTACAAATCGTGGGTGGCTATATAATGTTTTGCAGAAAATATCGAGTGTTGACGCAGAAAATATCACTTGGGATTAGTGATTTTCCCCACACGAAAATAAAATTTACAATAGAAGCATCGCATTATACACCTGGCCACATCCTTACAATCGCAGGGGAAGGGAGGGAAAGTTAATCCAACATCTACTTAAGAAGGTGCAGGGAACCCATACTACCTTCATAGGTGTCACAGGAAGGAAAGAGTTGTGTTAGTGGGAGGGTGAATGATTTGGCAACTCTATTCGTCAATATAGAGCATTTGATAAATCAGTGACAAAAAATAAAATATAAATAGATAACATGGAAAGATCTCACCCGATTGGCCTAGAGACTTTGCAGCGTCATGTTTTCAGAAATGCTTTATTTAATTTTCCTTGAACCACCGCAATCACTGATAACGCTCTTCTAGCTCGTACGTACAAAAGAACGCACTCCACGCAATAAGAATATAAAATTCAAAATCTACTAAAATCATTTTCAAAAAAATGTTGAAATTCACTTCAAAATATTACGTTTTTTTTTCACAATATCGATCAAAAACTTGAATAAAAAGTCAATTGATAGTTTAAAATCCACGCCAAATGCTAAATCAGTGCCAGCTGTAACCCAGGACTTGAAATCTTCAGCAACTCCCGGTTT